TGGCTTGCCCACACTGGGATCTCAGACTATCTCAAAGCAGGCACAGTTTTATATAGCAAAGGCTCCTCAACCCTCAATACTCAGTCAAATAACCTGGGAGCTTCCATGGCCAGGCCACCCTCCTGATGAGGCAAACATCCAGGCAGTATTTTTAAGATCTTCCCAGGCAATTCTAATAGGCAGCCAAAGCTGAAAAACAGTGCTACAGGTCTTGGGTCCTCCATGTTTCCATGTTCCACTCAAGATGAAAAGTGAGTTCAATTTCTAGCTGTAGCTATTAAAAACACAAACTCAAGTTCCAGGTTGCAGGCTTGCTGTTTCAACCGTCTGTAGTCCCAAAATAGTTGCAAGGAGGACTGAAGAGGTGTCCCTAGTGAAGCTGTCAAGTATCTCAGAATTTTTGGAAATCGAGTTCTCAAGGGGATGCCTGTAGTAGGAGTCTAGTTTTGATATTACCCTGAACTTGAGAATAGGTAACTTTGCTTTTCTGCAGTCTGTGCTCAAGTGGGTTGGTGCCCTCATCTGTTTGTGTATAGAGCTGTTTTGTGGGTAAGTAACACAGTACAAACAGTTGAAGTTCTGGGAGGTGGGGAGGACCCATGGCTCTTGTTATCTGGAGTTGATAGAGGATGTCTCAAAGAGGAGGCATGCTCTCACCCTCTCCTTCCAGGTGGAGGTGCATTTGTAAAGGCAAAAAGCTGAAGAATGGGATGTCAGGGAGAGAGCTGTCCGAGAATGTATCCCAGGATGTTTATGAGACAATGTAGAGAGAAATCAAGTCAAGTGACCCATGCATTGGAACATATCACTTTTGAGTGGATTAAGTAAGGCCATGGAGTAGCAAAAGGGTCTTCAGTGCAAGATAACAGTATAACTTATCTTGTGTATTTTTGAGGGGAAAAAGAGGAATGTGATTGCTTGAATAGAAGAAAGACTCTCAGGGAGAAGGTGAGCATCCTTTCAACCACAATATTTGGACTTGTCCTTTGATTTCTTCTTTGCAAACTCTTATGTTAATACACTTTTTAAAAAACTTTGTATTGGTATCATGCAGACTTAGATATACCATATTTTAAATAATGCCCTCCCAAATAGATTTCTCCATTTAAAAAGTCAACAACACTGCTAAGTCTCCCAGGCAAGTGTCTGTGTGGTCTCTGCTCCAGACCCCGTGTTTTAGGTCTTCACCTCCCAGGTCCCCTCTAATCCAACCTCCCCACACTGTATTCATTCAAACCCCCGAGGCCCCACTAGGTGCCTGGCTAACTGGTCTCAAATAAAGATATTAAGTCAGGATGTTAAATATTGATAATGCAAAGTACTCACACAATCGTGTAAAGAGGGAATCTGGCAAAGGAAAAGATTTCAACCTCACTAGTAATCAAAATAAATAGAAATGTGATATGATTTTTCAATTACCAAATGAACAAAGGTGAAAAAGAATGACAATGGTAGAGTTTGAGAGACTTTAAAGAAAAATGTGAGGTCTCCTAAACATTGGGGAAAGTGTAAAATGGCACAAGCTTGCTGGAGAACAGTTTGACAACGTATATACTTATAAATATGCAGACACAGCAATTCCACCTCTGAGAATTTATCCAAGGAAATATTGGGCAGGGGCCAAGGATAGTCAAGCCAGCCTTGTTTATAATGAAGAATAATTAGAAATAATCTAAATAAATGTTCACGAAGTGAGGATTATTCATATCAATTATGATTCATTCATGTAGAATACTAAAGAGCCTTTAAAATGATATGAATTTTATAAACATGAAAGGATGTCTTTTAGATACTATGGTGTCAGTAATTGCTATCTACTATTATTATTCCTAAAAGAAACAAAGGTGATGAGAGATTAAGCAACTTGCCCATGGTCCACAACTAGTAATTAATGGAGCTGGGATTTGAAACCTGATTGTCTGCTCTCTTACTATACTAATTAACCCAAATAAAGTGAAAGTCACTTAAATATCCCTTGCCAGCAATCCCATCTCTCTCTTCAGAAGTAACCACTGTTAATCATTGATCAGGTATCTTTCCAAATTTTCTACTGGGCATTTTCAGACACACATGCACACACACACACAAAGGTGTGTGTGTGCGCGCGTGTGTGTGTGTGTGTGTGTGTGTGAGATATATTGACATGGTACTATCTATCTTGTCAGCATGCATGGTTAATCCACAGACTTTTTGCCTCTGAGGGATATTCTGAATCATGAACATAGGGAATGCATGTGACCTTGACTCTGCTGAAAACTGGTGGTTTCCATCTCTTCACCCTAGCAAGGAAAGCTGCAGTGACCATCCTGGTATTCATGCTACTGTGTACAGCTGTATAATGATATTCCTGTGATAATCTCTCAGAAGTGGAACCACTGGGTCAAAAGACATGCACGCTAAATGTCCAAAGAAGCTGCCCAATCTCCCACACCAAGAAGGCTGTTTTGCTACCATGTACATACATACACTGTATACATACATGCACTATATACATGCATACACTGTATATATGCATTTTATTTAAATACATATAGTATATACATACATTTATACATGTATACACTATATATATACAGTATGTACATATGTATAGTATATATGTAATATACTATACACATATATACAGTGTATAGATACATACATATACTATATACATACATTCAGTAATTAAATTCTCACTCCCCCACCCCCCGCCCCTGTTTTCACCAACACAGGAAGTTTTTAGTCTTTTTAATTTTTGCCAATACGTAAAGTGAAGAATGTTATTTCACTTGCAGTAATTTAAACATCCTTAATTACTAGTAAACTTGAGCATCTTTTTATATGTTTACAGGCCATTTTTATGTCTTTTCAGAATTGTTCACTTTTCAGCTGGATAATTTGAGTTTTTCTTATTGGTGTAAAGGAGTTTTGTTATATTATAAGTATCAGTCCTTTGATGCTCTGTTTGTTGCAAATATTTTTCCAGTATGTTGTATTTCTTTGAACTTCATTTGTCTTATTTCGTTATACAGAAGTCTATTTTTTTGTTATGAAATATAATCATTTTTCCTTTATGGTTTTATATTTTGTTTAGCATTCTATCTCCACAGCCAAGAATATAAGAATACTCTCCTATATTCTCTTCTATTATATTTATATTTTTGCTTATAGATTTAAATGTTTGTATTTATATATTTTAATTGTGATAAAACATACATAACATAAACTTTAGCATTTTAACCATTTTTAAGCGTACAGTTCAGTGGCAGTAAGTACATTCATACTATTGTGCAACCATCACCATCATTTATTTCCAGAACGATTTTCTCTCGTAAAATTGAAACTCTATACCCATTAAACAGGAACACCCACTCCTCCGATCACTTCAGCCCTGGTACACACACCATTCTACTTTCTCTATGAATTCAACTACTCTGGGTCTTTCATAAAACTGGAATCATACAGTCTTTGCCTTTTATGACTGGCTTATTTCACCTAGGACAATGTCTTCAAGTTTTGTCCATGTTGTAGCATGTGTCAAAATTTCCTTCCTTTTTAAAGCTCAATAATATTCCATTATAGATTTATTTTTATGTTTAGACTTTAATCTATGAAGAAGTTAATACTGCGTTTGGTGAGAAGTCGGCGAAAAGTAATTTCTTATTTTTAGGTTGGTCGTCTTTGAAACAACTCCTCCATCAAAACCCACGTTCTTGTGGAAGCCCAAGTCTGTTTCTGGACTGTTGTCCTGTGATCCTTGTCTGTATCCAGACTGGAATCACACTGTTTTAATCACTCAATTTTTTCATCACGTTTTTACATCTGCCGGAAGCATGTCCTATCCCCATTCTCCTTTTGGAGACTTTCTCCAACCATTCTCAGACACTCCCTTTTTCAGAGAAACTTTAGAATTGGATAGTCATGTTCCAAAAATACTACCTTAGGATTTTGATCGGAATAGCTTAAAGCTCCCCACTCATTCGGGGTTGACATCTCACAGGGCTGAGCGAGGGGACCTCGTTCTCCAGGCCACCTGGTGCTGCCCTCTGTAAGGGAGGCATAGGCGGGTGCTGCAGCTATACAAGGCCATCCCACCTGGCCTCCCGCCACCCCGCTTGTGATTCCAAGGCTTCTACACAGGACAAATTCCTACACATCCTTGGTTTAATTTCTTTCCTTCCCCAGATGACATTTGAACTTCAACCTGAACATTCAGAACCAAAATCCAGAGTGGATACTTAGAAACCTCAGACCCTGCTGTCCCTGCTCCTCCCTGCAAACCACAGCCATAAAGCAGACACTGAACACGTGTGTGACCAGCCCCGGGTAACCAGGTTCCAGTTGAAACTTTTTTAAAAACAGCTTTGTTGTTATAGGATACCATAAAGTTCCCTCATTTTAAGTGTACGGTTAAATGGTTTTCAATAAATGTACAAAGTTGCGCAACCATCTAATTTTGGAACATTTCCACCACACTAAAAAGATCCCTCGTGCCCATTTATGGTCATTCTCTGGATGCCACTTTGCCCTGAGCGTGAGGAATGGGACAAAGAGTGAGGGGGTCGCCAAGAGATCCTCTGCCTGTGAGTCTAGAACCAATGCCCCAACATCGTGGCTTGCAGGCCAGCACCCCTCTCCTGAGGAGACCCAGCTAGGGGCTCCTCCTGAGGGTGCTGGCCATGCTGAACCCCATCCTTACTTCTTCCAGGTGGATAAAGTTTGAAGAAAAGGTAGAGGAAGGAGGAGAACGCTGGAGTAAACCCCATGTGGCCACACTGTCCTTGCACAGCCTTTTCGAGCTCCGGACCTGCCTGCAGACGGGAACAGTGCTGCTTGATTTGGACAGTGGCTCCTTACCACAGATCATAGGTGAGGCAAGGACCACTGAGGTCCTGCAAACCAGGGCAACCCTTCCCCCTCCCGCCTCATGCCCACCTTTGGTCTATGTGACATTCCCACCTCTGAAACCTTCCTGATTCTGCAGACAGGGCTTTGGGTCTGATGCTCCCAAGGCGGCATTACAGTTGCTCCAAGTTTCAGTCATACGTAGAGGTTCGATGGAGGAAAAGATCATCCTCTGAAATGCCATCTGGCAACGTAGCAAAAAGAAGAGCGGCTCCTTAGCGTGGATTGAAGCCACCTGTTGCCATGGCGACCTGTTTCTCGTCAGGGTAAAGGGCTCATCATTCGTCTTTAGGAAATTACCTCTCATTCAGTGGAGTGCCAAAAGGAGAAGATGGCTTGCCTTATTGTCTCTGAAACGTTTGTGATTTTTGTTCTAGCACATTCAAGTTCACCAGAAGTGTTTTGCCCAAAATATTTTTCTAAAAAGAATTCATGTTAGGACTAAAACCATTTAATACAGTACTTCTGTGCTTCTTAGAACGCTTTGTTGTGTATGGTTTCATTTACTTTTCACAATAGAATTGATAGATATATGCACACACACATACCCACGAGCACACACGTACCCTTTTACATATGAGGAGGCTGAGGGTTCATGATTTACCCAAGTTCCAATAGTCTATGGCAAAGACAGGACTATTTCCACATCCCCTGCCTCCTTTAGCTCACTTTTAATCCCATAAATAACAGATAGAACTGGAGACCCCACATCCCTGGCCATTCTGTTCCTCACGATGAGGCATGTTTGTTTCCCACCTAGACGATGTCATTGAGAAGCAAATCGAGGATGGCCTCCTGCGGCCGGAGCTCCGGGAGAGAGTCAGCTACGTCCTTCTGAGGAAACACCGTCACCAAACCAAAAAGCCCATCCACCGCTCCTTGGTCGACATTGGAAAGTCAGTCTCCTCCACCACCAGTGAGTCGGGCCATATGATGGCAGGCCGTGGGCATGCTAGGGCTGGTGTCAGGCCCTGGCGCCCAGGTGAGCTCACCTTAGTGGCCGGAGAATCTTGGAACTTGGAAGCTTCCTGGATTTTATGATCCTGGAGAAATTCTGAGGTCTTGGGCTTCCTTAGCCTTCTTCAGTGGCAGGCCTCAGGAACCCAGGCACACCCCAGTGTTGTCTCCACCTGGAACAGAACCATTTCTAGGAAGAGAATTGGTTCTCAGCCCTGGCTGTATCTTGCAGTCACTTGGGGATGTGAAACATGTTCTAAAGCTGAGGCCCTACCCTGGAGCATTGTATTCCATTGGTCTGGGGCTTGGCCTGGGAACAGGGAGTTTATAAAGCTCTCTAAGAATTCTTTGGTGCAGTCAGGGTTGCAAAATGCTGTAGAGGTGGTGTGTTTACAGTAAGGGCTTGAAGTTGTTCCCACCGGACCCCCAAGAAGAGCCAAGAGCCTCGGCAGAAACCAAAGCACATCAAGGTGGTAGAAAGGACTGGGTCCTCTCAAGGGTGCCAGGGCTGGTAAATGTGGCAGCTGGTGTCATTCCGATTAGCAGAGCCTTGGTCCATTAGGGAGAATGGCTTGTCCCATGCACACATCTCAAACCTGCTACCCTCCACTCTTGACATCCCAGAGTTGAGATGCCCAGATGCTAGCCTTGCTGGGCCTGTCAGATAAATGCAGTAATCAGAACAAACTTGATAAAGTTGCCAAATAAAGAGCCTTGAGGAATCTTTTTAGATGAACTGTTTGAAATGGGGAAGTGTTTAGCATATCATAACAATAGCAGATCCATACTTGGCACTTACCATCTTGCAGACACTGAGTACATGATTATCCTCCTCATCTTCTCAATAGCCCTGTGACTAGGTAATGTTCTTGTCATCTCCATTTTACAGATGAGGAGCCTGGGGCACAGAGAGGTTAAGTCACTTGTCTAAGGTCACACAGTAAGTGGTGCAATCAGGGATGAAGCCAGGCCATCGACAACACCTTACCTATTTAATTGATTGGGTATCTATCTCACTTTTAACAGTACAGATATTTTCTCTAATCTTGTTCAGACTATTAAATTGCTTCA